TTCAAGTTTCTCCTATGTATAGACTGAGAAGCCACTGTGGGCGGAAACGTTTCCCGCAATAAAGATACCCAAGAGTCAAATCGTTGAAAGTTAAGACACATGTGCAACATCTGGATATCTTTATTGTAGTAGACGTTTCGCCATCCAGTGGCTTTATCAATACAGATTCTAGGACATAATAGGAAGACAGTAGAACTATATACAAAAGATGAGGTAATCAGTCCCTCGGCCTTGGAGTTAGTGTTCACAGCTTCATGGTGGAGGAGAATCTGGAGCAAAGACAAGAAGACTGGCGGTTTATATAGGCGTCAGTGGATAGGGACGGGCAGCAGACGAGGGCAAAGTCACTGGTAGGCGGGATTCCCCAGTGGAAGTAGGTCCTTCCCAAAGAGATGGGTTAGTTGCAGCAGCCGTGAAGAAGGTCTTGTAGATGTCCTCTGAACCAAGATTCCATGATGTTGCAGTGTCTGACAAGTTATGCAAGAAAGGTATAAAATACCGACAATATGAAAGTTAAGACACATGTGCAACATCTGATATCTTTATTGTAGTAGACGTTTCGCCATCCAGTGGTTTATCAATACAGATTCTAGGAATAATAGGAAGACAGTAGAACTATATACAAAGATGAGGTAACAGCAGGACATCTACAAGACTCTCTTACGGCTGCTGCATACCCATCCTTTGGAATGACCACTTCCCTGGGTAATCGCCTACCATGTGCTTACTCTGTTCTGTCCGTGTCTATCCCTGCGCCTATATAAACCCCAGTCTTCTGTCTTTGCTCAATCTCCTCCACCAGAAGTGGAACTATATACAAAGGCCGAGGACTGATACCTCATCTTTTGTATATAGTTCTACGTTTTCCTATTATGTCCTAGAATCTGTATTGAAAAGCCATGATGGGAAACGTCTATCAATAAAGTATCCAGTCATGTTGACACAGTGTCAACTTAAAGTATGTCGGGATTTTATACGTTTCTTGCACATTCACAGTGTCTAATTTTCACATCCTTGTAGATGGACCAAGGTAATCCTCGACCATTGACCGGCCTTTTCTGTACCTGACATTTTAGTAAAGCCTTAAGTACAAGGCTAAAGTTAACATAAGAACATAAGAACGAAGGAACACTGCAGAAGGCCTACTGGCCCATGCGAGGCGGTCCAATCCTACCGGCTTAACCAATGCACCCAACCTAAGTCAGGTCAGCACCTTCTTAAGGGAGGAACACGGCAACCGTCCTGGTAGCATAAGCTAATCAGGTCCAACTCACACCCACCCACACCCACTCATGTATTTATCCAACCTATTTTTAAAGCTACACAACGTTCTGGCCTCTAGACTGTACTTGGGAGTTTGTTCCACTCATCCACAACTCTATTACCAAACCAGTACTTTCCTATATCCTTCCTGAATCTGAATTTTTCTAACTTAAAACCATTGCTGCGAGTCCTGTCTAGGCTAGATATTTTCAGCACACTATTTACATCCCCTTTATTTATTCCTGTCTTCCATTTATACACCTCAATCATATCCCCCCTAATTCTACGTCTTTCTAGAGAGTGCAGATTCAGGGCCCTTAGTCTATCCTCATAGGGAAGGTTTCTGATACATGGGATCAACTTTGTCATCCTCAACTTCGCAGACAGCCAAAAGGCTGTTTTTACACCGTAAGACCTTCACCCATCATCAGTTTTACTCTGCCTATATTCAAGGACATTACCATCACTGATTAATCTTCCCACCAATTTAAATCGAACAAGGTCTCCGTATACGGACACAACAAAGATGAAATCTTTTGCCCACATCTATAGCTCCATTTTCTCCTTATATTTTGAACATATCTGATGTTAAATATGGTACATAAAATTAATAAAAATATTACTTGTCAAGCTTTAAATTAAGCTTATGTAGCTTATTAACTCCTGGGTTGTAAAAATAACCTAGGGAACTCTAAAGCCTAACTTTTGAAGAAATTTTAAACTGAACAATAAGAGAAAAGCATACAAATATACGTGAAGATTGTGTAGCTCAAGGTTATGTATAAGAGATGTCTGACGACAATTTTGCATTTTGAGGTCAAGGCTTGAGATCTGCAGTTCCCACGACCGTGTGCTGATTTGCATGGAACCAAGGCTTTAGGAGCTGCCATCACACGCCAACCAGTGACAATTCACGTTACAAATTTCCTCGCGTATAAGAGCAAGCCTAGCGTTCCCGTGTGATAAGAAACTTCATTACACAATCGCTCGCCCTGTGGACTATTATTCTGGAAATTCACGGCTTTTGGGTGCTCAGCATAGTCAGTCCCGAATTTCTTTCCAGAGAGTTGAACATCTAGTCACCGTGTTGCGTAACATTTGTCTTCCCCTCCCATTATATCCGCCATATCTTTATGCGGGTTGTAAACCTACTGTTGGGATTTGTTAATATATTAAAAGATCACGCAATGTATGCTTAGATTCATTAACTGTTCACCAGCGAAAATTTATCATACAACCGATTCCCACAAAACAGTACACAATAATTGATTTGCTCCGTTAGCTTTTGTTTAAACTGTCCCACTGGGGCAGGAAAATGTGAGGGGGAGAAAGGAAAAGAAAGTGTGGGGAAAAAGCAAAAAATAAGGGGAAACTTGCTGAGAAAAAAGTAGGAAAGGAAAAACGAGGAAAGTGAAAAAGCAAAAGGGGTAGAAGAGAGGAAAAGGGGAAGATGGAGAGAAAGGAGTAGTGGGAGAGGAAAAGGGAGAGGTGGAGAGAAAGTGGTTTGTTAAAAAAAAAGTGAGGGGGTGAAGAAAAGTAAAGGGGGAAGGGACAAAGGAAAAGGTGAGGGGAAAATTGAGATTGGAAACTGAAGGTTAAGGGGAAATGATTGAGGATAAATGCGGGAGGCAAGTGTCAGAGGTGAAGGGAAAAGTGAGGGAACAGGGGAAACCTGCGAGGGAACAGGGGTGGGGAACCTGCGAGGGAACATGAGGGGAAACCTGCAAGGGAAGAAGGGGAAACGTGAGGGAAGGTGAAACGTAAGTGAAGGGGAAAACGAGGTAAAATGGGAAACATGCGAGGGAAGAGGAGACACGTATGAGGGAAGAGGGGAAACGTGCGAGGGGTTACCTGAGAATGTGAAACGTGGGAAGAGAAACGTGCGATGGTAGAAACATGAGGAAGAAGTGGAAACGTGCGATTGAAGATATGAAACGTTTGTGATAAGAGGGGAAAGGTGAGGAATGAGAAAACGGGGTGAGGGGAAACGTGCGAGGTCAGGAGGAAACGTGCGAGGTCAGGGGGAAACGTGAGAGTCGGGGGGAAGGGGACGAGGTGGCAGAGAAAACTCAACGTTGAAATCTTCGCGCTTGTCACGCTGTAGGAGGAAATAGTTTATGTTCCGTTTTATCGTTTAAAACACTGCGGTCAAATGCAACGAGATTAAAATAATTCCCCTAAATTAACCTCTTGGCTAATCCAACACACGGCTATCTGGTAATATGTACACAATACCAAAAACCACTCTTGTCTAATACTGAAAACGATATTTGTGTTGTAATAGTGTATAATAATAAATTATCAGGATTTCACGAGCCGAGAACATCTTATCTCGAAAAAACACGTTACCGCATCCATTCATCCGATGATAAAATGCCATGTAACTTCACTGAAGGGAATACTTTAGGAAGCTCTTCCTGCCTCGCATGGCCAGTAGGCCTGCTGCAGTGCTCCTTATGTTCTTAAAAGTTAGACACGAGTGGGAATGGCTAGCTGTGTGTAGGGCCTGACCAACATGGGTCCAGCAAGCTTAATGAAAAGCATCTGTCCTTAAGTTCTTGAACACTGGCGTGCACAGGTTGGGAAGCAATGTTCCTTCCAGTTTAAAGATAAGCTAGTTTGCTAGACGTTAACTTTGCAAGACGTCAAAAGCTTAGAAAAATCATCATCAATGTATTCTCCCTCTCGATTATCTATTGTGAAGCAACTTTTGATTTTCTTATAAGAAATGCAAATTAAAAGAAACAGAACTCACCGTGTAAATTTGGAGACGTGAGAAGATTAGTCAAGACGACGGCAGCCATGTACTGTGCTAGGAGGGTGAGGCGGCCAGAGAGGCAGCAGTTACAAAGGAAATACTGACCCCCCAACAGTTACCCGGCCCACCCCGCCATAGTGATTCCAAGCCATAACACTCAATTTTATACACTCACTTCAATCATCAGCTTCACTTATTGTTTCTTGAAAGTAAGCATCATTTCTGAGATAACAGAGATGCAGCATCTTATGGGAGATGGTGGTTTGTCTTGTGTGGGGTGTGGCGTAGGTGGTTGGCATTCTGCTGGAGGGTGAGATGACGCTCTTGTGCCCTGATGCACCTGTACCTGCATCAGCTTCTACACGTCTAACCATCACCCACACACCCGCTACTATACTTTTTCTTGCACATATAAGTAGTGGGGCTCCACGAAAGTTCTTCCTAGCGCATTTTTAGCAAGAATTTTACCTAAAACACAACTCAAGCATATAACAAACATTTTTAATGGCACAAACCCGCACGGAGATGATAAAACAGCATAGATGAAAAACATTGTATATACGAAGATACATTAAACATTTTGGCCTCATACTGATGCCCTATTAAAAGCTACAAGGTTTTCAGCAAACTAGTAAGTTACAGCAATCTACAAACTGAAGTAAGTAATGTTACTGGTTACTGTTAGTCAGGCAAGAGGAGAGCGTAGCCCAAAGTAAGACTCCCCCACTAAGTCAGACCCATGCCCCACGCTGCACTATTTTCAGCGATGGGGTTTGAGTGGGCCGCCGCTCGTCAGCTGACTACCCCCACTGCTAACTTGGCCAACGTGATTACCTTAAACAACCCACAAAAACCATACCCTTAACACCAAATCCTCACCGGGTTTATTGTTATGCCGACGCAGCATCACCATGCAGTGTCCTTAACTTACAAGCTGCTACAAGTGGAGGAAAAAACGTTAGAAAGTATTAAGTCTTACCTTCATCGAGAAGTCTTTCGACGTGCATGAATACACTGGGGAAGGCTGCGAGCTGTTTCTTATCCTTTAAGAGTTGGGCTAGGTAGTCCGCAATGCTAGTAGTATTGTTAGAATCACCCATTGTGTCAGTCGGTGTGAGTAGGCTAGAAGACGAGTGAGGTAAACAAGAGGTTAGTTGACACTACGGAGCAATAGTCTACAGTACCGTACCTCCATCAACAGTTCCTCACTCACCACTGCCGCGCACGCGCACTCTAACAGACCAGTCCACTCTGTTGAAGGGGAGGAACCCTCACCTCTGCCCATTTTCTGTTTGGTTCAATTGCAAAATGTATATATATTACACTACATTCTCACAGAGAAATATGCTATCATAAAACTGTAATTTCCACAAGTCCACATCCAGATGCTTTCGTCATTATCTGGCCGTTTTCCCGGCAGAGATAAACGGATGTAGACTAAACATTACACCAACATTCTATGATTTACATATAAAAGTGTAGACAATATTTAGACATGAATTCAGTTACTGAATTTAATGAAATCTATAAACTTCAACATAAAAATCTATTATATAGTGAAAAAGTTACAGACAATATAAAACAAATACCTTTAAATTAAATAATTCAAGTTATTCGAGCACACACTATTATAAAATATAACCTTGCTTGATACATCTAGCCCAGTTAATTTGATTCAAGAATTATGTGTAAATGTTTTAGTTGTTATTTACATTTGACTCGTATTAAGCCACTTGGTGCACGATCAAAATATTGAGTCGGTCTATGGTTCTCTCTGTACATATGGTTCACTGTTATTGGTGTCATTCGAAGGTATTATTATAGTAGTAGTAGCAGCAGTGTGGAAAAAGACACTTATGTACAGATCGGGATATTTATTAGAGGAAACATCTTGCCACCAGTGGCTTCTACAGTCCTAATGAAAGAGCTCTGCTGTAGGCCTACTGGCCCAAGCTAGGCAGGTCCAACTCACACCCACCCACACCCACTCATGTATTTGTCTAGCCTATTTTTAAAACTACACAAAGGTTTTTAGCTTCAGTGACGCTACTCAAGAGTTTGTTCCACTCATCCAACAACTCTATTACCAAACCAATGTTTTCCTTATCCTTTCTATATCCGGACCTGCCTAGTGTGGGCCAACAGACCTGCTGCAGTGTTCCTCATTTTCATGTTCTTATGTTCTTTTATTTTCCAACTTGAACTCATTCCTTCAAGTCCTATCTTGGTTAGATATTTTAGCACGTTAGTTACATCCCCTTGGCCTGGAGTTTTAGGACTCACTTGCCATAAGTTCAATCCCCCCCCGTTCCGTGGTTTGTTTTCCATTTATACTAACCCCCCCCACCCACACTTTTCCCATATTTCCATCCTTCTTCTTTCCCCATCTTACCAAAGCTCTGGTTATATAAGTTGTGCAAGAAAGGTATACAGTACCGACAAGATGAAAGTTAAGACACATGTGCAACATCTGGTTATCTTTATTGTAGACGTTTCGCCATCCAGTGGCTTTATCAATACATATATAGTTCTACTGTCTTCTATTTATGTCCTAGAATCTGTATTGATAAAGCCACTGGATGGTGAAACGTCTACAATAAAGATAACCAGATATTGCACATACAAGTTACAAGTACTGCTGATAAATTAGACACATGTGCAACTCTTGGGTATCTTTATTGAGGAAACGTCCTAGAGGGACTAGTACCGAACTTGCACACGAAAATCACTCACTACGAAAGCAAAAGACTTGGCAGACGATGCACCATCCCCCCAATGAAAAGCAGGGGTGTCACTAGCACGTTAAGAGACCATACAATAAGTGTCAGGGGCCCGAGACTGTTCAACTGCCTCCCAGCACACATAAGGGGGATTACCAACAGACCCCTGGCAGTCTTCAAGCTGGCACTGGACAAGGACCTAAAGTCAGTTCCGGATCAGCCGGGCTGTGGCTCGTACGTTGGTTTGCGTGCAGCCAGCAGCAACAGCCTGGTTGATCAGGCTCTGATCCACCAGGAGGCCTGGTCACAGACCGGGCCGCGGGGGCGTTGACCCCCGGAACTCTCTCCAGGTAAACTCCAGGTAAACACAGTGGCTTCATCAGTCCATACAGAGGATAAACTTGAAGAACAGGAGGAGAATGAGGTAATCAGTCCCTCAACCTTGAGTCGATGTGGTCAGTCCATCAATCTTGAATAGAATACGGCATATGAGCGGAGAAACAGCTTATAAACCATAGACAGGAGAATTGCACATGTGTCTAATTTAACAACGTGTCGGTTCTTTGAACCATTCATCTACACAAGTACTGCTTAAGAATATCCCCCTTCCTATACGCCTTTCCAGAGAATGCAGATTCAGTGCCCTTATTTTGGCCCACCGACTCAAATGCGTTATTCAGAAAGGCAGTAAATTTACTCAGCAAGAACAGCTTCTTGTCCATCCCATGTTTAAACTCATTACGTTCAAGGGGAGTTCATATTTTATCTGCCTTTATCGATTTTACTCGTATGCTCATTATTTAAGTAGCAACTTGTCGGTTTTCAAAACCATTCATCACTATATGTGCAAAGGCTGATATCAGTGCCTAGCTGACATCAATGACACTTGTGATGAATGGTTTTGAAAACCGACAAGTTGAAGAATGAGACACTTATGCAACATATGAGAATCTTTATTGAGGAAACGTTTCGCCACTCAGTGGCATCATCAGTTCAATACAAAGCAGAAAGATGTAAGGAGAGGAGTTTGAGGTAATTAGTCCCTCAGCCTGGAGTCGATGTGTTCAGTCCATCAATCTTGTAGAATGTACAGCATAGGGCCGTAGACGTGGCTTATATACTGTAGTCAGGTGAGGCGAAGCAGGAGGAGGCGGGGTCATAGTGGTACCATTCATTAGTCGAAGTAGGTCTTCGTCCAAAAGGTTGGACACTACTAAATAGAAAGCCGCTTGTTATGCAGAGCATTTCGGGCAAATTAGGTCAGTTTTGTCCCAGGATGCGACCCACACCAGTCAACTAACACCCAGGTACCCATTTTAAATTGATGGGTGAACAGAGACAGCAGGTGTCTTGTGGAAACACGTCCTAATGTTTTCCAGCTGTACTGGAGATTCGATCCCCGGACCTCAGGGTGAGCTTTCTCATCTTTCACCGTTCTTCTCTGTATTGGACTGAAGAAGCCACTGGCTGGCGAAACGTTTCCTCAATAAAGATTCCCAAATGTTGCACAAGTGTCTCAGTCTTGCAGTCATGTGCAAGTTGATTGTTCTTCCATATTGTATTACTACTACTACTACTACTACTATTATTACTACTACTACTACTACTACTACTACTACTACTACTACTACTACTACTACTACTACTACTACTACTACTACTACTATTACTACTACTACTACTATTACACGTCATTCTAAGCCTGTATATGCCCTCTATGTCCATGTATTGTCGATAATTCTACCAACATTGGTAATAATGGAAGAATCACCGACAAAATGTTAAGTAAATGGACGCAAATGTAACTAATGTGACATTTTATTGTGGCAACGTTTCACTCTCCAGGAGCTTTGTCAAGCCGACTTGACAAAGCTCCTGGAGAGCGAAACGTTAAAATGTCGTATTAGTTGTACTTATGTCCTTTTACCTAACATGTCAATCGTGTTACTACGATTTCGTGAGGCAATTTAAAAGTTAACTATTTTGTTTATTAACGTAGTGTTCAAGATATGTTTCCATGCAGTGCTTTTAATTTCGTTATCGTGTAATCACCTATTTATTTGTAATTGTCAGTTACTAATAGGCTAATAGGTAATTACATGAAAAAATTTAAATATAAATATTATAGGAAATATATCTTCTAACACTCTCTAAACAAAGCAAGACTGATGTTAAATATTATAATTATTTTTTTCTACAGAATTTCAGGCAGGAGAGCATGAAGTAAGTAATATTATTAGTTCAGCTAATTAATCTGAGGATGCAGCATCATATTATTGTCTGGAAGGAGGTGTGCTCTTCACACCAACTCCAAGGCTGAGGGACTAATTACCTCATCTTTTGTATATAGTTCTACTGTCTTCAAGTTATGTCCTTGAATGTTTATTGATAAAACCACTGGATAGCGAAATGTTTACAATAAAGATACCCAGATATTGCAGGTGTCTAATTTTCAGCAAGAGAGGGATAGTAAGATGTAGAGTAGGATAGAGATGGTAAGATTAAAAAAAAAAGACAGACAGAGAGTAGACATTACACTCCTGATCAAAATTTCAGTCACTAGTACTAAAGTGATTAGTATTTCCTCTTATCATTTGTATGGCCACTTGAGTTCAAGAGGACGTGACGTATCACAATACTGAGACCAAATATTTAATAGTGATTTTACTAATATGCCAATAAATTCTTGCATTACGAGAGACTCTAGATTTGATCACTTTTTAGTTACAGCCACCGAGCTGACAGACGTGTCTCGACTACTTTTTTTTTGAATGTCCTTATTTGTAGTTAAATATAGATTGTTATAGATTTATGTACGCTAACATTATCTAGCCTAGCCAAACTCAATATAACCTTGGCTAACCTGACTTAACTTACAATAAATTTAGCACCTGTAGTAACAGGAAATATTAAGTATGTGATGGCGGGAATCGCTAAGAAAATTAACGTAGAAGAACGAGGATATAATACATCCTCGACCATATACATCTAATAAGCTAGTATTAACTAGGAAGTTTTATTATTACATCATATATACATTTAGAGATGTGTCAGTGTACGTACACCTTGAGGCGTATATCTCAGTGTATGTTCACCTAGTGGTAAATATTTATGAGTCGACATACATCTATAAAAAGATAAACTTGTGGACCGTGAGGTAACTTTATTATGGAAACGTTTTGCCTTTATCAATTTAATACAGAGAGAGAGAGAGAGAGAGAGAGAGAGAGAGAGAGAGAGAGAGAAAGCATCGAAATATATATCAGCCTAAAGGTTATTTGTAGTTAGCAGGGAGGCACAAAATGGTTAACAATATCATTGGTGGCTGTCTCGATGGTCAACAAAAAACAAAATTAATTCGTTGCCAAAGATATTTGAAGGTATTTAGGGTATTTTGGAATTGCTGAAAGTGATGGCTAATTACATCATCTTTATTTTATTTATATTACTCCCTTTGTATTTGACTGCCAATACACCAGGTATATGTATGTTCTGACAGGTGTGGCTGT